CGGAAGAGCGGCTCCTCGGCGTGCAGCGCGGCGCGCGGCGAGCGGGCCAGCAGGAAGGCGAGCGCGCGGGCCAGCGTGCCGCTGTAGCGCGCGCACAGTTCGGAGCGCGCGCGTCCGCTCTCCGCGCCGCCCAGCACTGCCCGAACACAACGATATCACTATTGTTCATACAGGTGAACCTGTATGAATATAGAAATTTTTAAAGATGTGACTATGACCGTTGGCAAAATAGTTGGTGTGTTTGTTGTGCGTGGCGTAGCAGTGGTCGAGGTGCGCCTCCAGGTGGTCGAGCTGCGCGGCGAAGAGCGCGGCCTCAGCTGCGCGTGCCAGCCGGCGCACGCCCGCCGCGCCCCTCCCCCGCGCACCGCCCGCCACGTACCGCAGCTGCTGGTGGATGTCCACCGCGCTCTGCTCACGCCGACAGTAAAACACGCACATTACAGTGGGAGATAAAAATTAAGCTTTGCTATATAAAAAAATATTTCCAACCAAGAAAAAATTGCGAGTGCAAAACAAAAATGCACTTAGAAGTAAAGATAATTGTCGCATTCTTGTGTCTTATCGGCGGACATTTACCGTTACTAAGGTCATGTAAAGCGGGAAAAGTGAAACCGATCGAGCGATGGGTTTACCTGCATGGTGTGGTTGCTGGCGAGCGCCTTGACGGCGACCTTGTTGAGGAGGTCGTACAGGTCCTCCAGCAGCAGGTCGCGACCCTCGAACTCCTCGTCCATGCGGCCAACGTCGCGCACCGCCCGCACCACCACTTCCGCCAGCGCCACATCCGTCAGCGCCTTCAGCGACACCTTGACCACGAGCCGGCGCAGCAGCAGCGCCACATTGTGCGCCAGCGGCACCGAGTGCAGGCATGCCGGCAGCAGCGCCAGCAGCGGGGCGCCGCGCTGTGCCGCTTCCTCCCCCAGCTCCACCCAGATGTCATCCTGCAGAATAAATATTATTGTTCTAACTGGTGTTTACAAGTACAAAAGTAAGGCATATATTCGGCAGCACTTACGTCCAGTTGATCCTCTAAAGGCACATCGCACTTGGTGAGCAGCGCGGCGCACGCCGTCGCCAGCTCCCACGAGCCGGGGTACAGGGATATCTGAAACAATTGTATAAACGGTAAGGTATTTTGTAAGCCATGTGGCGGCGGCGTGCTCGGTTGCCACCTTATAATATAGATGAGATATTATGCGGCACCTGATCGGCGAGGTGCGCGTAGTAGTGCGCGCCGGCGGCGGTGGCGGTGGCGGCGAGGGCGCGCGGGGCGCGGCGCTGCAGCGCGCACACGCAGCGCACCACGGCCGCGCGCACGCACGCCGTGCGGTGGTTGGCCAGCACCACCAGGCTCTCCGCCAGCACCGGCCCGCACACCGTCTGCACGCGCACAACCGACACCCGCCAGAGTGAGTACACATCTGTCACTGGATATTATATTGACATCGCCAATTCCGTTGTGAATCGATGAGGTGAACTGATGATACCTGAGCGAGTAGGTGATCGGGCAGCGCGGCCAACGAGTCGCGCAGCAGCAGCAGCAGGCCCGCGCACGCCGTCCAGCCCGGCTCGGCTCCGGCGCGCACGCGTCTCTGTGCAGCGGAACGCTCATCTTACAATATATACTTTGTACAGAAGAGTGACGCGGGCACATGAGCCGTTTGTGACGCCGACCTGGTGGTAGATGCCGCCGGTGTACAGCTCCACTGTGGTGTGGCGCAGCTCGTCCTCGTCCACCAGCACGTAGCCGCTGAGCGCCTCCGCGCCCCCGCCGCCGCTCGCCGAGCCCACTGCGCCCACCTCGCCCACCTCACCCACCTCACCCACCTCGCCCACCTCACCCACCGCGTCACTTGCACCTGCGCACAAAAATTATTAATATTTAAATTCCGACACTTGATGGAGTGTTAAAAGTAGTAAAAGGCGGATTTGAAAGAAACCCAGATATTCTTATTCAGAAAATCCAGAATATTGTACTTGCGAAAACTATGCATACTCAAGACGGAACTTACCTACAGGAGTTCCGTTGGTTTGTGAAGCCGCGCCATTTTCCTTTCTGTTTCAGAGATAATATCACTTTTATAATTGGTAATTTGACAAAGAGAAATAATGTGTGTACTTTGAAACTAATTTGTTATGGTTTTAATAAATGTACTTAATATGAATGTAACAAATATCGGCTACCTGCTGTCCCTGATGTGTGCGTTGATGAGGCCCTTCATGTGCTTGGTGTTGTGGGCGCGGTGCGTATCATCTGCGGCACCCTCCGCGCCCTCCGTACCCTCCGAGCTCTCGACTCCCTCGGGGGGGTCGTTGAGCGCGAGCCTCTCCAAACTCCTTCTGAGTTTGTGCTGTTTGTTTTTGCGCTTGTTAATGAAAGTGAGGAAGTTGAACTCGCTGGACTCCGGCGACTCCGCCGTCAGCAGGAAGTAGAAGTTGGCGCGGGAGTGCGTCACGAAGGTATCGCTCGCCTGAAACATTATACCCTATTCATACCTCACGTTCATATTCTGGGCTAAGGGTTTAGATATAATAGTGATCAGGCGGTATGTGGCGGCTGACCTGGTGCATGAGCAGCAGGAAGTCGCAGAGCAGCGCGAGGTGCGCGGGCAGCGGCGGCGTGCCGACCAGCGCGCGCACCAGCTCCACCAGGCTGTTGCTGGCCGACGTGCTCAGCGGCCCGCTATCAGAGTTCAGGAACCGTTCCTGCGCAGACACACACCGTTCGGTACAGTTGCGGGAAAGCTCACTAAACAATTATATAAATCGATTTACTTAAATGTCTCGAATCGGACCATACATTATTCAAAAAAGGTGCTCATTTTCAAGTGATCGCAATTAGGAAATTCATGAATGGAATTTATGTCGCAATGTAAGGTAGTTCACCTTGCAGGCGAGCAGGAGGTGCCGCAGCAGGTGCGCGCGCGCCGCCTGGTGCTGATTGAAAGCGCGGCGCGGGCCGTCACGCAGCAGCGCGCAGATCGCCTCCAGCGCCAGCGCCCACAGCGAGCCGTTCTCCGTCACCTCGCCCCCCTCCACCTCCCACGACACCTGCACGGTGTGGAGGTGCGGCCACGCGCGCAGCAGCAGCAGCAGCAGCCGCGGCTCGCGCAGCGCGCAGTCGGCCCGCGCCGCCAGCCGCACCGACTGCCCGCTCACGCTCAGCAGCGACCCGGTGCACGCCACGTCCAGGATTTCCTGCGAACAAACATACATGTTTTCTTATTTTACTCAGCATCGGCGCCCTTCAACTGCCGCAGCGGGCAGTGCGCACCTTGAGCATGTGGTGCGAGACTCTGCAGGAGGGCGCGGCCAGGACGGGCAGCAGCAGCTGCAGCGCGTCGCGCGCGTACAGCGCGGCGTGCAGGCGGGCGTCGGCGCGCCCCGCCCGCAGCGCCACGCCCAGCGCCGCCGCCTGCTGCTCCGCGCAGCCGCCCGCCTCCACCACCTGGACGGTATCAATACTTTTAGTGTTTTTGAAAGGAGTGTTTTCACCAATTTTTAACGAGTGTGACTTTTAGAAGAAAGAATGAGTAAGAATATTTTAAGCGAGAACGATAGAAAATTTTAAAGCGTGAAGGGTACATTACCCTCGCAAATAAGTAGAGCAGTATTTCTGGTCCGCCGAGCAGCAGAAGCGCGGGCGCGAAGCCTCGGTGCCGCTGCACGCGCGCCTCGGCCTTCCACTGCACGCGCAGCGTGTCCGCCACGCCGCTGCCCGCGCACCCGCCGCCCCGCCCGCTGAACCCCGACACTGTCGCGTTCAATGTTCTCAATTACCTGCCTGCGTCAACTACAACGTTTAGCGGCGACGCACTCGGAGGCTTGCTGTATCACCTGTCTGCGGCGCGGACACTTGCTGGTAGAGGTTGACGTGATCGTGCGCGTGCGCGGAGTACGTGGCCAGCAGCTGGTCGTGTAGCTCGCGCAGCGCCGCCGCCGGTATCTCGAACACCTGAGAGCAAACGCACCTCGCTTACAGCACGAAAACAACGATCTTCATATCATACCGTTTGCGACTATTTCAAACATTATACGGATCGAGTCGTCGATTTGTGAGTTATAAAACACCCGGCTCACCTGTTCCCAGTCCACGTTCATGTCCAGCACGTCGGGCGTCAATATAGCAGAGTAGTTGGGCTCCTCGCACATCACCTAACACGTAAATGACAACATGGATAATATGATAAGACTGCGTGCATCGAGAGCGTGTGTTGAGAGCGCAGCGGTCGCACCTGGCAGGCGTGGTCCGGGCCGTGCGCGGCGAGGTGCAGCGCGGCGGGCGCGGACAGCACCGGCGCGCGGTACAGCGCCAGCGGGCCCAGCCGCCACG